GATAGGTTTGCAGAAATCCTTGGTTGTGATTGGCAGTTCCTTCCAACGATTTATCTTGGCTTACCTCTCGGTGCTCCTCCGACCTTTTCGTCCATTTGGAATAATGTTTTGGGTAAAGTGAGTAGGAGATTGGAGGTGTGGATGGCTTCCTATCTTTCTTTGGCTGGTCGAATTACCTTGTGCAATGCGGTCCTGGAAAGTCAACCTGTTTATCTGTTTTGCCTGTTCAATGCTCCGCGATCTGTTGTTGATAGACTTGAGAAAATTCAGCGGGATTTCATTTGGTCGGGTCGTCAGGGTGAAAACAAACTCCACCTTGTTCCTTGGGACGTATGTAAGGCTCCTAAACGGTTTGGGGGTCTTGGGATTGCAGATCTGAGGATTCGTAATCAGTCCCTCCTGTGAAAATGGTGGTGGCGTTTTGCCCGTGAACGAGATGCGTGGTGGCGAGAGCTTATTTCGTTTAAATTCCCCAACGCTTCTTCGGATTGGATGTCGGGGGCCCGCTCAGGCCCTTGCGGTTCTAGTATATGGGCTCAAATTCTGAAGACTAAAAAATTGTTTTGGAGATTTGCTCATGTTGAAGCTGGTGCGGGATCGGGGGTTTCTCTTTGGCAAGACGTGTGGATCAAAGGCAGGCTGCTTGAGGAGGAGTTTCCGCGTGTTTTTGCTGCTGCGGAGCTGCCCAACTGCCGGGTTTCCGAGGCTGCTAGTACTTCTGAGGGGAGAGTTGTGTGGGATATTCCTCTTAAATTTTCCTTGAGGGGGGGTGCTGAGCAAGAGAGAGTGTCTCTTCTTAACTTACTTAATGGATTGCATGCTGATTCTTTCTTTTCAGGTCCTTCCAGGCTGGTTTGGGGTCCTTCCCCAACCGCGGGGTACTCTGCCCACTCTTTCTATTGCGAAGTTCTCAAGGAGCAGTTTCCTGGTTCTGCTTCTTTCCCCTTTCATGTCATTTGGATGGCGGTGGCTCCTCCGAAGGTCTGCGTTTTTCTGTGGATCGCATTCCGGAAAAAAATTCTTACACAGGATGCTCTGAAGAGGAGGGGTTGGCTCCTTCCGAGCCGTTGTGCGCTGTGCAGAGAGCAGGAGGAAACCATTAATCATATTTTCCTCTCCTGTAGGTTCTCCAAAGATGTTTGGAGGATCCTCTCGGCTTTTGTTGATCTGCAGACCTCTAGCTCGGACATCGCTGACTTGATCTCCAAGTGGCCTTGCAGAAATCGAGCAATGCTAAGGAGTGGTGCTCTGCCATTTTCCTCCATGCTTTCTGTTGGCGGATATGGCTCGAGCGCAATTCCAGAATCTTCAGGGAGGTCCATGAGATCGTTCAAGTTGTGGCTTATCGGATTGCTTCCTGCATCGCGGATTGGTTGAGGGCCGCGCACAAGGTCGATCCGATGCAGGCGAATGCATGGCTGAGTGTGGTTAAGTCCCGCTTGTTCCCCAGAATCGCTGTGCCCGTGACTCTTTCACTTGCTGCTTCCCCTGCGGATGATATTGGCGACTCTGCTTTTCCCGGATGATTTCCTGGCATTTGCTTGTGCCCTGTGCTCTTTTCCTTGTCTTTCCTGCTGGTTTGGGGGCGCTGCTTTGCGGAGAGCTTTTGGGATTTTCTTGTCTTTCCTGCTGGTTTTTGGGATTTTTTGGTTTTGGGCTCTTTGACTTCTTGTTTTGACTTCTTGTTCTGGTTTCTGTTGTAATTTTTCCTTGCTCCTTGTTTTCTATTAATATATTTCACCATTATAAAAAAAAAAAGAAGCACTCTCACGTTTCAGACAGGCAATTGATGACTTCACCCCAATTTAAGGTTCATAATTTCGAAACTGGTCTTACAGTCAAAGTTTATCAGTTTCCAAGTAATTTCACTCTAAATAAAGACCTGTTTTTTTGTTTCATCACAAATCCAGATATCACAATGGAAAGCAGGTAACAACTCATCCAGGTATGAAATACAACCTTCTCATCAAGCTCAGCTTGATTTTTTTCCTCAGCCAACTTTTCCAACTCTTCCTCTAGCCTTTTGAGATTACATAATAAGCTGTATGTTCTGCAGATCGTTTTCCATATACCTTTGCTCATCCCTTAACTTTTCCAGTTCACTCTGCAGGGAGTCCCTTGTTACCAATAGAAACATGTAATCAATCAAATGATTTGACACAGCAGAATACGTCAAATGCTAAACATTGTAAATATAGAAATAATTGGTAAATGACCAATAGCCTAATATAGTTTGCTCGCACGTAGAGGTGACAATTGGATCGGATTCGTGGATTCGTGGATTGGATTCGTGGCTCCATGGATCAAATGGATTGGATCCAATGGATTGGTGGATTCATGGATTGGATCCAATGGATTGGTGGATTGATCCATGAATCCAAATAGCATCCAAGGCTTGGACCAAAATGTAAATTTTGAAAAGTTTAGGTACTTAAATGTCATAATGAAAAATTTTAGGTACCAAAACGTAATTTTTCAATGATATTTTTCGTATAAAAAATAAATTTTAGGTACCAAAATGTAAAATATAAAAAATATAGGTACCAAATCGTAATTTGCCATTTGGATCCATGGATTGATCCATGAATCCACCAATCCAATTGGATTTGGATCAAATGGATTGGATTTAAATGGATTGGATTAGGTGGATAATTTGGTGGATGGATTGGATTGGATTCATGGATTTGGATCCTAATTGCCACCTCTACTCGCACGGGTAATATAAGCTGAGAATAGGTAATCAAGTGTTTGATGCATCTGGATTTCCCAGAAAGGATCCTGGAAGAAAAGAAATCTAACCACAGCAAGGATGTAGGACAGCATACAAAACATTTTAGTTCAGAAGTATCAGACTCAAAGAGTACTCTATTAGAGCTTGTAAGTAGAGAGATCAAACAACTCTTAAATCTCTCTTTCGTGGCATGAAAGTCTTATGTGGGTTATCAAATTCATCAGGAGGTTCCTAGCTTTGTGTACCTATTGGTGTGGTTTTCACTATTGAAGAACCTGTGAAGGGTCGTTCCACCGACATAAAAAGAATTAATCAAGGTTCTAAAAGGCGCTAGGCGTTAGGCAGGCGCTCGGCTCCTGACTTGCGCCTTGCCCGATTAGGCGTAGCCTAGGCGCGCCTAGGCGTTTAAAGCATAAATGGAAAAATTCTCAAATATTTCCTATTTTCTGGAATAATTCATATAATCCAAGTGCATATAAAATTAGCAATGCCTAGTTCTTAACAGTAAACACTTAACATAACAAATAACAAGCAAATAGTGACCAATCATCTGCTAATAGGTGCTTATAGAGGCGAGAAGCTTGTGCTACGTACCGAGGAGAAGGAAGGAGCAGCAATTGGCGAGTTTCGACTTTATTTCTCACTATAACAGCGGAGTGGTGTGAAGGCGAGAAGAGTGATCGATGACTTTCTCCTGCGGCGGCAGAGAGCAGCAAATGGGGCGAGAGCTAGGGCGGCAGGCGGTAGAAGATGGGGCGAGCGTTAGGGCGGCAGGCGGCAGCAGATGTTACTTCCCTTGTTTTTGATTTTCTAGGGCAAGAGCCAAGTTTCTGATTTTCTAGGACAAAACGAAGAGTATTGGGTTTAACCGCCTAAGCTTGCCCAGGTACGCCTTCTCTCCACTAGACGCAAACTAAGCGCTATTCCTACCTACTAAGCGCTATCAGCGCCTTTTTCAACGCCTATGGCCAAGTCAAGGCGATCCTCCACCGCCTAGCGCCTAATTGAGCCTAGGCGTGCGCCTAGGCGCGCCTTCTTGAACCCTGGAATTAATCAAAATCAAAAGCACTCATACACATGACACTGTGATTCTAGAATACATATGCAAGGTTATCTTAGGATTAGCAAATTGAAATCAGAATCCTATCAAGGTATTCTAAAAAACTGAGATAAATAGTTCTACCAATTGGACATTTCAAGAAATCCAATCTTCAGCTACTTTATAACTATGCCTACGGAAAATTCTATGGGTATTAGCAAGCTAGGGGCTTACTATGCAGTATTGACATGGATTGAGGAGCAAAACATAACTTCGTAAGAGGGCTTTGATTTCCCCCTTCTCCGGTTCTCCCAAGGGGCCTTCGATATCGTTCTCCGCCCCTTTCCTCCTCCCTGCCGACCTCACGATGCGGCGCCGCCGCCTTTCTATGATATCTCCTCGAAGTCAGCCTCCTTCATCCTTTCCAAGCTCTGATTGCGGACGACCCTGAAATCTGGGAAGAGAGGCTTCGATTTGACTCCGAAGTAGGTCGACTCGAAATCAACAGCCCGTCGTAGTGGTTGTCGAAGTTAGATTATTCCGATCCATCGTTTCTCGATTGCAATCGCGGACGACCACGTTATCTGGCTGGCCGCTCATCCGACGGAACAAAGAAACCACCAGGCCCGTTCAACGCAATATGAAACGCGGTATTTTTTCCCTGTCCCAAAATACCCCTCCGACAAACGCTCCGGAGGCAGCAATTTCAAAATGGGGCTTCAGTTTTAGACTACGGCGTATTATAATTAGAGTAGATAGATAGATTATGATTGCAAGGATACAACAAAAGAAGATGGCTCTCCATATCAGAGGTTGACAAACCGATGAAATCGTACCGACGGCTTGACTGTAAAAATATCTTGTCGGCAATGTAGTCAAAAGCGCGTTTCTATGTAGAATCGTTTTGACTAGAAACCTAAAATTGTAAGCTTTTAAGTTTTAAAGCGCAGTTTAACTACATTAGTTATAAAACTGAGATTATGCGTAGAAGTATTTTGGTGACCTAGAAACGTAAAAGCGTAAATTTTTTTAAGTTTTAAAGCGCGATTTTGACTACATTGCTTGTCGGTAGGCGATTTTTAGCAGTTATAACCTGCCGACCACGGTTAAATCATGATTTCAGTACAAAATACCTTATCGTTTAGATTTTCCAATACAACCTTCGATATGATTTTACAAACATGATAGTTTCTCTAGCAAGAGACAGAAGCTCTGTAGGACAACCATCCAACAAAACCATCCATTTTATTTATAATATGATGACAATAAAATTCATCTGTATTCTCAATTCGAACTCTGAAGCTGAAAAATCACCTAATAATGATAACAACAACAACAACAACAACAAATTAAGAAACAATACATTTCCATACAGCTTCAAGCAGCTGGGATGGGGAGAAACAGAACACATTATCACCAAAACATAACTACTCTTCCTCCCTCCCTCCTTCCATTCCATTCCATGGGCAGGCCTTTATTTCAAGAGGAAACGAACCAAAAATGCAGCTGCATGCTTGAATCAATTGGAAATAATGATAATAATAATAATAAATAAGATATGGAGAGGGTTCAAAGATTTGATTTAGACCAAAAACAGAAAATCAATTCTTTGTCAAGCCCACCACTCTCCCTCCATTCCTTCTATCTCGCCAATGTCCATGCTGCAACAACAACAACAACAACAACAACAACAAACAGATTCTCAGTTTCTTGCAGTAACGGATTCCATCCACTGTCTGTCAACCTCTTCTGTCACCAAACTTGTCTTTCATCATCCTTACTATTAATTGTAAAGGAAAAAAAAAGTGCAGGTCAATGAAATAGCTGGATTCTTAGTTTGTGTATAGCAAATCAACATCATGGGCTGGTTTGAATTACACCGACCCACACACAAGGCCCACTATAATAAGCCCATCACGGGCTCTTCTATTGAATTGGACCACAAGCTTCTTTCTATACTAGTTTGTTTGTTGTATCACGATAGTAATGGCACAAATATTTTCTGCTGCCCCCAGCCTACCCCTAGCTAAACCCATAACGCTCTGCAATTCCGCCATGCCATTAACCAACCCCAATGATGAACGGAAAACATCAAAAGAGCAGGCAAATTAATTCACAGACTTGCATCAAGTAAATGATGGGTTATTAATTGGCATATATACATACCAGGGCAAGGTGGGATCAGGAGAGTAGTCTTGAGGGCAATCATAACAATGCTGCTGCTGAAGCAAAGTGGCATCATTTGCAGGGTTGAACCAGGGCGGGAACTCCATGATCTCATGATCATCCGCAACAACCGCCTTCAGCTGATCATCCGGCCCCAGATCCACCGTCTTCATGAACTTGAACCACCACGCTGACGTCACCAGGTTCATGGTGTCGTTCCACTCCACCTGGTGCTGCTCTCCGATGGATCTCATCTCCGCCATCTCCTCGTCGTCCAGCACGTGGTGGAACCCATCATCACTGCAAGGAGGCGGCTGCGGCACAGCCACCCCGCTCTGCTGTTGCTGCAGAAACTGCAAATTGGGCACCTCCCCTGCCGCAGCAGCATTATTATTGAAAGAGAAACAAGGGGAAGAAGTGGAGGGGCTGTCGTTGTGGTAGAGAAGAGTAGAGGTGTCTATGTTGTTGAAATCCTGGATGTTGAGGTTTAAGCCCAGGGGTTGGTTCGGCAGTGGGAAATTGAGGGTTTCCCCTCCAACTGGTGGGAGAATTGGGGAGTTGGTCCAGGGGAAAGAGCAAGAAGGCGGTGGAGGCAGGGGATGGGACAGATTATTGGAGGAAGAGGAGAAATTGTCCACATAGTGATAATTATTGTTGCAGAAATTGGGGCTGCCGCCGCTGCTTGATGGGTATGTCCTCGGGTTCCTTCTAGATTTCACCTTCGGTTCTTGCTCATAACATGGAAGTTGGTCCTTCCCTCCTTCTACTGGTTGTTGCTGCAGTTGTTGTTGTTGTTCGTTGGCTTGCTTCATAGCGGCTCTGTGGTACTTGAGGGCGGTGACAATCTCCCGTCTGGCCTCGGCCATGTTGAGCAGCCTCTCTTGGTATGGTCTGCTGGTGTGGAGTCTCCTTCTCACTTGCTTCTTGTGCGGCGGCGGCGGCGGCGGCTGCTGGGCTTGCTGGTTTTCACCACCGCCACTTAACCCTTTTCTGTCCAATTTGGCAGCGACAGGAGGAGACGGATGTTTGGGATCCATGGGGTCTTTTGTTCTCGAAGATGTCAATTGCTTGACGAGACTACGAATATAAGCACCAGAGAGATGAGGCTCGTCTTTGTTCACCACCTTACTATCCGTTTCAATTGCTTCTTTGTGCTGCCTAATTGATGATCCACCTCTCATTTCAGTCTGCTCTCTCTCTCTCTCAAAGGGAAGAAGAAAAGGTGGCGGTGGTGTTGGTAGGGTGAACCATGCCCTTTTGTTTTTAGAGTTGGGTTTTGGGGCGTCCCCTAGGATTCAGAACAGAGCAAGTACACGGTGCAGAGGAAATGCAGAGAGGCCGGGGGAATTGGTGATGTGGAAGGGTGTCATGGGTGTTATAAATACTAGGTGGGGAAGGAGTCTAGGGTTTTTTTAATAATGTTTTTTTGGAATTTTCTCTGTTTCGGCAAACTAACCTTTTTCTTCTTCTTTCTGTTTTCACCATTCCCATTAGCTGCATGAACGATCAGTTACAACTGCCTACTGTTTTACTTGAGTGCCCCTGTCCTAACTAGGACTTTCGTCCTCCACCTTTCCTCCATTCCATATAAACAGAATCCCTTGCAGGGGGTAAGAAAGGACAATGAACAGAACTATATGCCAAAAGGCACTAATGTATCGAACGCACCGGCGGATCAAGAATAGGTTAGAGTACTGGGCCGTATTTAAAAGGCGGAAATATATACTCAAAATCGGAAATTTACAAGTACTATACGAGCTTTAGATCCGAGGAAGGCTGGGCCGTGGCCTGGGGGCGGCCCCCCTAGATCCGCCGCTGATCAAACGTCTTACCAAGTAGTCAAATTTTGACAGTTTCATAGCTATTTTGTTTATGAGTTCTGATCTTAAATTAACTTCATCTCGGTATAAAAATTGGATAAAATAAAATGGTAAGCTAAATCGGTCGATGGTACAAATAATTACACCAGACACGATAATTGGACCGAGTTTGAATCGAGATGTCGACATCCATTCAGATTGAGGCATGAGCAACAAGATTGAACCAAGAGCAGCAAGGCCTTGCCTCGCAAGGTTTGGAAGCTTCATGTTTACTAAATTACCCGTCTGTAAAAGCTTGGAATACTTGGGCAAGAACATGCATAATGAGTATTTTGATTAGGAGTTGAAAGGACGAGTTAGCAGAGAAGAGCAAGAATGCAGATGCATCAATGGGCTTAATAACTCTGAGTTGGACCGGACCGGCGCCGGTCTGCCTGCCTGCTGTAGAAAGAAACAATTTTGGCAGGCGCCAAAGGAGACTGCCAGTTAAGCACATCAGCATTTAGCAGCCTATTAATGGACAGAAACAAAAAAATACGATGAATTTACGTGCAAATTCCAAGCCCTGGATAAGCACGTACAACAGGGTCAATCTCCCATCTAGGACAATCCTCAGTGTAACTAATCCTCATCTGGAATGAACAATTGTGACTATTAACAGAATAACAGGAGAAGCCACTATGAGGTCATAGCAATCGAGAATTCGGGCTCTTGTCGTAATAGCAAGCGACTTCTTTGAGAAAGTTTGTACAAGACACAAATCGTTCAAAAATAATTTTATCTCGAGTAGTTTCCAATTTCAAGATCTCGGATCGAATTGGTACAATTCTTTTTGCATCATACAAAAGAAGTTCATTTACGTTATTTCACTTGAGTGAAGAAATATCACAATATATAAATGGTTAAACAAGATAATAGAAATCAAATTATCTCACACAAATTGAAATGTTACATGAAATATCGCAGCATGAAATAATATAACACTTTGAGTCAAAATATCATATAACCAAAACGCAGCATTCATTGCTCAAATATGAAATGAAATGACTCGATCCAAATAGTTCAATTACGTTATTTTTAGATGTACAGTTATCAAAATATAGCAATATGCAAATAACACAGAGGTGGAAGGGTAGTTTGGGTAATAGAAGCGATCTAGTGGGCGGGGTCTGGTGTCATGCCTGCAACTGCAAGTGCAAGTACTAGGGGCCGGGAGGGACCAGCCTCAGCCTGAAGGAAAAACGTCAGCAAAAGCCTAATGGAAGAGAGAGAGAGAGAAACTGACAGAAGAATCTCCAATCCATTACTGTTGTTGCTGTGTGTAGAGAAAAAAAAAACCCTTCTCTTTCCTTCCATTTGCTTTTTCTTTATTAAGAAAATTCCAATTTTCTTTTTTCCCGGTCATTCAAAACAGTTTTGCCCAACATCATCTGTATTTTGTAGTATGAAACAGAGAACTTGCACCTTTTATTTATTTATTTGTTTTTAATAAATTATTTATGAAGGAGGGCAGAGGCAGAGCAAGTTGAAGACAGAAATGCCCCATACTCATCTCATCTCCTTTTCAACATAAATTGTTTTTTCCTTTTTTCTTTTTCTTTCCTTTTATTGATATTTATTTTTCACTTTAATTGGGGGTGGCTGACACAGCCAGAGGCATGGCTTCCGTGTGGTTCTAGCAGAGCTTTCAGGCCGCAATAACAGTCGAAATGAGAGCCGATGGAGAAATATTAACCACGGTGACGGTGTGCTCCAAGATTATTAAACCCCTGTTGGACATCTGGTTAGATCCGATTTGATCGAAATCGGGCTTTAAAATGTCCTACAGAAAACTGTTCGGTCTGGCCCTTAAAGAGGGGAGAAGAAGAGAGGGGGAGGAGAGGAAGCGAGGAAGATGAACGAAGGAAGGGAGATGGTGGGTTGGTCATAGAGGTTAGGAAGATTTATTTTGTGGAAAATAAGTTGTTAATAGATACATGTAAGATAAATTTTATTTTAGTTATTAAATCTTTAATTACTACCTTATTTGTATATATATTTAGAAAACGTCTAAAACGGCTCAAACCGGCCAGACCCCAATAAGAACATAAAATCTCAAACCCCTTGCTTGAACGCCTCAATGGCTTAAACCGGTTTGACAATTTTGGTGTGCTCTCTCCAAACCTTTAGTAGGACAGCTAGCCTTAAAAGTTAAAAGTTAAAACCTACCGTGTGTGAACGTGAGCAGTGCTGCTAATGTCTTTTTGTTTTACAAGATTAGTTCATGGACCAAAAACAGTGGACACGTTTAAAGGCAATTAAACGACAATAGACTTAAAAGACAAAACACAAGCCCAAACAAAAGTCCAGAGACTCAATAGAGCCCAGACCATGGGCCAAAAACAGAGCTTGAGTCTTCTAACTCTAGTCGTCCAATGCCCCCCTCTAGTCTGAAACCTCCGCCACCGTCGCTGGAAAAATGGACTGCCGCCGCCACCAGCCAAATCCACATGAACCAAACACCCCTAGTGGAGGGATGAGGAAGGGAGAACCTCTAGACAAGCCTCCTCGAGCCAATCGTCGTCTACATCTCGGCGACCATTCACAAGAGAACACATTAGAGCAACCGGATGACAGACGGTGAAAACAATGGACAACCTCTCCAGCCGAGTCTAAGCTGAGGTTCGCATCTTTGAATCACGAGCACATGCAAAGTGAAACAAGGAGGTAGATAGTAGAAGGATAAGGAGAAGATAAGCAAGATCTAAAAGATCTAGCCTCCTTTGCATCTTAGAGCACACACATTTCCATATAATGAAAAAATCAAATTAGAGGGAAAAAGATCATCCCACAAAGGGGAGGAAGGAAACCCACAAATGGGAGGAACATCCACAGACGAAAAGAAACGAAACCAAAGACTGGGAACAATGTAGTCAAAATCCCGATTTTACGATATTACCTATGAGTTCTGATCTTGATTTTACTATTAAATCTTTGAACCTTAAAATCCCATAAAAGCTCGATTTAAAAATTTAAAATCCTTACAATATACAATTTTTACGATTTTGTATGATTTCAAAATTCATGTCAACTGGAGCAAAATGAAACAGGTCGGGTCAGGTTTAGACCATGAACCGGGTCAAGTTCACTTCCACCGGCCAAACACATGAACAACATAACCTAACCTGACATACAACCCTAGATTAATTTTTCGTTCTCTTTCTCTTCCGCAAGCTACACCCTATTTATTCCATCAACGATTTCCTTCATCACCCTCTCAATTACCTCATTGTTTGTTCCTCCATCGCCCTCACAATTATCCCAATCCCCATCCCCTTGCGAGTTTTAGTTCATATCCCAAAACTTTAGTGCCACCATTCCCGACCTTCTTTCGATCAAGAAGAGAATGCATCAATTAATAAGTTGCCGTTGTAGGATTATGGCTATCAAGGACATACGGTTGATATTGAACGTAGTTCAAGTGATCACGAGAATAGTGATTTAATTGCTCTAGCAAATAGACGAGGATTTTATGAGGTTGAAAGTGAGGGTGACGATGACGATGTTTAGGATTTAGATGCTAATATTAATCGTAACGATCTTATGTGATTTTCTACTCTTAACTATCAAGTAGATTAAGCGATTTCTATTAGATTTCAGGTTGCTTATTTTTTTCATTATCGTATGCAAAAGAACAAATATATGGTTTTATTTGTGTTATTTAGTAGATAAACTTATCTTGAGAATCAATTAAGTGATATGTGATTGGTTGTTATTTAGGATATGCATTATTCTTACTGTCCGATGTTTTAAGTAATAATTTTAATATGAACCTTAAAATCTAACGATTTTAATTTATGATTTCGATATTACGTAAATTTTTTATTTTACGTAAAATCTTGATTTTGACTGTATTTGCTGGAAAATGCGAAAGAGAAGAGAAGAAAGACTACACTACGAAAGGAAACAAGAGGAGAGGATACCAGAGGGAAGGACCTAGGGGTGAACAAACAAACTAGCAAGCCGACCCACCCGTTCAACCCGACCCGACCCACCCATATTTATCGCTAAAACAAAAGTTTTGGGTTGGGTGAGAGTTTTCTTTTGTACAACCCGCCTCTTTTGGGTTGGGTTTGAATTTTGGATGACAAAACCCGTAGAACCCGACCCAACCGTGTTCAAACTATTGGTATGATTCATATCCAAAAAATATTATGTCGTATATACCCATACTTATGAGAAAATTAAGATATTCTGCAATGTTTTTCTCTCATGGTCTCCCTAATCTAATGCATAATCTGGCTTAAAGTTTAGACATAAATTTAATCTAGCTATAATTCACGTAATCCCTTTTTTTTGTACAATTTTAATAAAATAACATATTATAGATGTGTTCGTTTATAACCTTTTTAGCCTCTTTCAACAAATGTCGTGCAAAAAACTAGACATATGTTGGAGTAAATCACATTTGATTAAAATTCAAACAACATTTGTGAATTTTGATACCTTTCACCTCGGTTTATTCGTTTGAAATTT